TGCAATAAAACATGCTGAGCAAACCCTCTTGGGGTTACAAACCCCACTGCATTTTTCCTTTTGAAAGGACTAGTATCAGCCCTGCTCTCCTCCACATATTCTGTATGGAAACAAGGCAGCACATCAGGAAAGAGCCTGAAGGAAGAATTTATGGTGTCTCTAATTAGTCAGCTTGTTCCGTCCTTGAAGAAGAGGATAACAAGCGACAAGGATGCATTGCCGGCTTCTGGAGGAAGAGTGCCGTGGCCAGGCTTACGTCCAACTGCTGATAGGGTAATTAGTGGTAACTGGGAGCCATCAATCATCTCGGGTGGAAAAATGTCTTGGTTAAAGGAAAGACCCTCCCAAACATTATCATAACTCAAAAGGGTGTGAGACAGGGTCTGGAAGACAGTACTGGCAGTTTGTGAGGTATTTGAGGAAGAGGACTATTAAAAGATAGATTGAACACAATGTTTTTTTGTTCCTCCCCGGGTAGGTGACAGAATTTGCTGTTATAAAAGTTGCAAAGTATTTTGGAAGGAGGAAGGAAGAAGAAAAGAGTTAGCAGATGGAAAAGAGGGAAGAATATCAAGAATTAGGAGGGGGGGAAAAAGTAACAGTGCACTAAATATTAAAATTAGCTGCTAATTGAAAAAATTATGTAGGAAGAAAATGAATCTATGCAATTTGACAAGTAAGTAAAATGTATCATCATTTGCATTTTAAGTGCATGATGAGAGAATTTATTTTGATCATTATCAGCTACAGTAAGTTTCAACTTTTCCCAGACAGCCACATTATGAGAGAGAGTATAATTTTCAGCAGAAGTGAAAACGCTGTGAATCTTGTTTTTTGCTTTACCTAGTTATGATTTACTTTGGCCAGTTTCTCCCTGTGGTTCCTTCCTAATTCTGCAGCTCTCTGAGGAGTAGGACTTGTGCAGGGCCTGACTGAGTGCTGAAGCAGCGGTCAGCTCCTCAATGGAGGAATGTCAGACTTCTGAATAACCAGCTGCAGTTTTCAAACCAGTTTGGATCTCCAGAGCTTTCGGACACCACCTTCCATATTCCTGGCATGGAATAGGATGCTTTAGAGGAGGGTGGGAGCTGCAGAGAGAGCATCAAACATCTACTCTGCCAAGAGTAAGGTTTTATTGGAGTGGTAGCTTGTTGCGTTGGCATGTGTGTCTTCAGACTAAGAGTTGCCAGGTGCTTGTGGAAATGTCCAGGTGTTTGAAGTGGACTTCAAAAACATAGAAGGAGCTGCAGAATTAGTGGGGCCATGCCCCTGGAGAGCAAGAGCTGGGGAAGAAGTTGAGGAGACTCATCAGTCTGGCAGGAAAACCCTGTTTAAGGCATGAGCTGAAATCGTCCCAATGCAAGGAGCTATAGGAAGGGATCAACTAAAGAAAATCATAAACGTAGCGAACTGAAGTTCAAAACAGAAGAAAAGTAAAGCTGGAAGGATTTAAAATGAATGGATATGCAAAAGGAAAATCTGAGTGCCTAGGGTGAGGGGGGACTATCAAGGACACCAAGAAAATGCTGAGGTTCATTGTGAGTGAGAAGGAGACCTTCCTCCTCACTGGAGCATGAGAGCTGGTCACACTGGACAGTGAGGACACCAGCTTCTTAGAGAAATGCTGCAGGAAACCTCTGAGCCTTTGAGGGCTCATGGAGGACAAGTGACATTTCAGAAGATACGGGCAAGGCAGAGGTGGTGACAAGGAGGAATTCAGTTTCCCTCTGTGATTAAGACCCTGTGGATAAGGAAAATGGACACCATGTCTTCTACCTTCACCAAGTTGTCTGCCATTGACTCATGCAGTGAGCTGGAGAGCAGGTTGCTGTTTGAGAGTTACACTTCAAGAGGCAAACGAGCCGCTGAGGAAGAGCAGCAAGAACAACCAGAGGTCCAGAAAACACAGCCTCTGTGGAGAGACTGGAAGAATTAGGTTTTGTTTAGTCTGAAGACAAGAGAAGACTGTGAGGAACAGGACAGCAGACTTCAAACACATAAAAGGTAACCGCAAAAAGGAGAGAAATTAAAAAAAAAGCTGTTCTTCGAGTTTGCTGTGCATCAGAGGTCACTGACTGACTTAAACAACAACACTGGAAATTTTGGGTAGTCTCTAAGAAAGATAATAAATATGGCCTTATGAGTCAGGACGTGGAAATCGCCTGGACTGGATCACTAGGGAAGAGTGCGGTGTCTCCATCCCCAGAGGACAGCAACAGGTTAGAGAAATATTTGCCCAAATGGGCTAGGTAGAGACTTTTTTCCTTTGGTTGCTTTGAAGATGTTCCCTTCTCGATTTCGTGTCTCTCATTCCCCAGGAATCCTTTAATCTCTGTTTGGTGTCCTCAGGGGAGTCAGATGGGGAAGAGAAAGGGGACAGTCAAGAACAGCGGTTTTCAGTGAGCCCGGGGGCACACTGGCTCTTTGGCAGAAGGTGGTGGAGCGGAGTGAGCCTGCCACCATCCGGTTTTGATTTACCATCCAGAGGTCCTCACCGCTACTGGAAAACCCTGAGGGGGGCCTCTGGATCCGAAGCGCGAAAACCCACTGGGCGAACTGACCCCGGGGGCCCTTCCCAGCCCTGTTTTCTCTGCTTTCTGTGGCGCTAAGTGCTTCAGCATGGCAGGGACAAATGCGATTGTTTGCTGCTCGGAAAGAGATTGCTGACCCATGGATGCCTGCCCGAAACAAGCATTGTTCTGCCCTGTGTCGGCCATCCCACCGTCTCTCCCCGGCAGTGCCGGAGGTGTTTTGTTGGTCCCGGGTGCAGCCGGCACCGTGTGGGCCGTCCGCTCTTGGCCCTTTCCTGCCCTTTATTTTCACAAGGGGCTCTCCCAAATGTTTGTCAGAATATTTCTGTTTGTCTATTGTTGAACCCTCGTCTTTGAGCACTTTAATCTGCCTAACGAGCTCGCTGCGGTTATGCCAACGGTCCAGATTTCCTCATCAGATTCTTCTGGCTGTGGAGGCTGTTGCTCCTGTCATCCTTATGGATGTTTCTTGAAACAAGCAGATGCTTGGACATGCAGTTAGAGTCTGTGTCTTAACTCCACTATCAGACCCTCTCTTTTATTTTTGAAACTGCTGCTTAAGCACGTTAATTTTTCTGTGATGCTCTACCTCGTTGTTTGCTTTGAGCATGGCTTCCCATCGACTTCTCCTCTCAGTGCTGTGCTTGAGGCCTTCTCCTTGGCAAGGACTGATGGTGATGATGGTGCGCTGGGATGCTCAGAGTGCCTGAGCAGTGACTTTTATCCTCAACAGCTGCTGATATTAACTGCCGAGTCTCAGTGATGTCATGGGTTTGATTTCGGAGGCAAGCTTGAGTGACTGGCATAACCTGGTGCCTCAGCTTAGCGTTGGTCACATTTTTTGGCAGTGAAATCCTGATAGCCTCTTTGCTGTCCAACATTTCTGCGATCCTTTGAAGAACCTCTTGCCATTCTGCAAGGGTGTAGCTGCAATGGGGATGTTTTGGGGACGAAGGGACCTTTGAAAAGGGCTTATGCTCTCTGGAGGGACTTACACACTCAGGTTGTCTGCTATTGCTGACAATGCCTGAAGCAAAATTTCTGGAGGCTGTGCTTTGGGTAATCACTGTTGTTTAAAATTTTTGTTATTATTTTGAAGTTTTTTGTTATTATTTTGAAGATTTCTGTTGTCTTTAATTTCCCCTACAACAAATAATACTGAATTATGGCCAGACACATGGCATTTTTGCCAGTTTGTTTGCAGCTTCTCTGAACTAATGCTCCTTCCACCTCTCCTCCTGTCATTTGTCCCTGATGGAGGTAGAGAAGATGTCTCTAAAAGACCATGAGTACCTTGGATCTGTTGCATGAAAACTGCAGCATGGCCAGTCTTTAAAAAAGGCCAAACCCACCATCTGGGCTCCATGCACTCAACTGGGGTCTGTCTGCTCTGAAACGGGGTCACGCAGTGCCGAACACCCGTGGGGCCATGAACAAGGGGATCTCTGCCACCTCGGGTAAGGTCATGCTCGGGCTGCTGACGTTTTAATCAGCATTTCATAACTAATTGCCTGGCCACAGCTATCTTGTTGTCAATTAACATAGCCCTGAATGTCAGGAAGTAACTGTATCTCTCTAACTCACTAAGGCTGCCTTCTGGGTCTATGAAATGGCTGGATTTCCTCACAGGGATGGATTACATGTTTACATCTCTTCTGCCGGAGTGTGTAGTGAGGATGACCCAAGGAAGCAACAATAACATCTTTATGTTCCCTTTCTGTCCTTCTCGTCTTGTGTATGCTATAGAGCAGCAAAAAAAATCCCTTGTATGTGAGCTTTTGGAGCAGGCTGGAAGACACCCACGTTGCGGACACTGAACTGCCTCAATCCAAGAAATTAGAGGGAAAAAAATGCTAAGCAACAGCACTTGAGAGCATTTTAAGAACAGACACTTTTCCAGACGTCAGGAAATGCCCTTAAACGGATGGGATCGTTTCAATGATCCTATCAGTCCAGAGAGCGTTGCTATGCTCTAGCTAGAGGATATCTCTGCTGTCAGCAGAAGGTCTCACACCACATTGACCTCCTCTGATACTGCCCAGCTTTTAAGATCCGATATTCTGGGACGTGGGACTTTCCAGATTAGGATAAATATGACCCACTTAGAAAACTAAGCATCTCTTCTTCTGAGCCTGAAGAGACTACAGCGTGGAGGGTGGCTTTTTGTCTCTTCGTGTGGGTGAAAGGGGTCATTGCGGTTCTGGTCTTAGATAGTCACTGGTTGAACATGCCACAGGGAAGGACAAGTGAGCAGAGGGCTCTGTGGCACAGCCCTGCTGTTCATCACAGGTGTGCTCCCTCTATATCTACAGTAAGGTGGACTCATCCTGTCTGCAGACTATGGCTGCTTGTTTGGGCTACAGGAACGGCAGAGCTTTCTTAAGGAAAGTTTCTATCTGCATAAAAGCCAGAGCAGCTGAAAAGGAACAGTGCAGATGGTGCTAATTTCCAGAGGCCATATGTTTGGAGGGACACCGGGTACCCCCACAAGAATTCTTTGTTTTCTCAATGTTCATTTTCAAAGGTGCTCTGGAGGTCTCCTCTTTGCAGGAGGCCACCGCTTCCTCCCACTCGTCCACTCCCAACACGTTTGCTCCGTCTCCTCCTCCATCCCCTGCGGCTCGACAAGCCCCGCAGCTGGATAAACAGCGATTGCAGTCGCTTACAGCCCTCCAGTGCCTTTCAGTGAGACACTGGTGCAGAGAGATGCTTCCTGAGCTGCTCGTCGTGGGTGGACAGTCGTGCTGCAGCCCGCACGCCAGCACCAGCATCTCTCTGGTCCTGGCAAGATCAGGTTCAAAACACACAGGATCCAGAGGTACTAATGACAAATGTAGGCTTCCTGTTCTGCTCAAGGCTGAGGAATTTGGTGATCTGGGAGCTCTGGGTCTGTCTGCTGGCTGGGCTTAGCTATGAAGTGGGCTTAGAAATGTTCACAGTAGCTTTGATCCTTGCTCTGTTGACTTGTTGTCCCTTCTCTGCTGGCTGTTTATGGAAAGGGGATCTGGCTCATCTCCTAAGCAGCACCACCTCTGTCTCACCCCAAAAGAGCCTGCTGTAAACAAGGGAGAGGGGGTGATTTGCACTTGTGGCTGTTGGTTATTGGATTTTGGTTGTTTGTGGAGCTCTTTCGAGTTCACCACCATCAAGACCTGGCCCACCTGGTGGCAGTCAGACCTCTTTCTACACAGCTGCCCCAATCTGGCTGGGACTGCAGGAGCCGGGGACAACACGCAGTGGTGTTGCGGTGACTCTGTTGCAGTTCACATTGCTTTCATGAAGGGTTCTGTGCAGCCTGGTGGGCTTGTAGGCTCACTCCTTTGGCTTACGGGGTTGCCAGTGTCCCTGGCCAGGCAGGGGCAAGCCTGGTGCACTGCACGCGGCATGGCTGGTGCTGCCCGGGAGAGGCTGGCTCAGCCTGGCCACTGGTGGTTAGAGTGGTTGGGAGCGGAGGTGCGAGGATCCTCTCCCGCTTTCGCCCACTCTTCCCTCTAACGTGCGTTAAATTACTTCTTGTTGTATTAACGACTGAGCCTCTTTAGAAGCTCTGCTTGGCCTTCTCATTTATCGCCGTGACAGAACAAGACAAATCCACTTTGCTGAAGCATTATTTCACTTAAAATCCCTGGCGCTTTGCAACAGCTTATCCAGCAGCATGTCCTCCCTCCCCACCGTCCTCGGGACATCTTCCCTCCTCCTCCTCCTCCAGCCCATGCAAGATGATGTTGTTTTCAGAAGTGACTATATCCAAGGGCTTTGCTTTCTCCTGGGTCATGCGGACAGTCCCGGCGTTTGAAGCCCGGTCCCCGGCTGGTCTCTGCTGATTGACTTATTGCAGCCGAGACTGTGTCCCTGCAGCTCGCTGATGTGTGTTTACACAAGCCTGTGCAGCCCCCCCTTCACATAACCATTAATTTTATAGAGGGCATATAACAAAGATGGGCCTCCAGTACGCCTCCTGCCTTTGATCTGTGTGGGGTGCATGGCCTGATGGGCCCGGGCCTGCCGGCATCGCTGATTTACTCTGCTCTGCGGACGTAGCTTCTGGATCGAACAAAAGCTGATGTTTTCTCTCGGCGGTATTGCGATACCATTTCAGGCTGTGCTGCTGTCTGGTCGCGTTTGGCCTGCAAGGGCAGAGATGGCTCAGGGTTTGCTTGCCTTTAAATTTTTCTTCCAACGTCGGCAAAACGGTTTGGTTCGTGCAATCCACGAGTGCAGCAAACCCACGCAGACGGGTGGGCGGGTGAGTAAGGGTCTGTAGTGTTGCTAATGGAAATAAAGTCCGTGTATTGGCAAGCCGTAAGCGTTGACCTTGCGACAGGGCGCTCACTCTGAAACAAAATCTCTCCAAAACAGTTCTCGCACAGAACTTTATTGTCATCCAAGCCAGACTCAGAAAACTTTTTTTTTTTCCTCCCAGTCTGGCATAAATTAGGATTCCTGGATCTGAGTCTGACCTTGCCCTCGAAAATGAACTCTCTGATCAGAAACCCTTTTGTTGTTTAGACTTGGCATACCAGGTAGGATAGCAACCTCAGCACTAACAACAGTGAGGGGTGGTTGCTAGACCAACCAAATCAGAGTCCCCCCTGAGCTCCTGTCCTAAATTTGGGTGGGGCTGTTCTGAGTTGTTGAGCCTTCTGTCTCTGAATGTTGGCTTTAGCTCTGTTGGTCACCATGAAGGTGCTAAACATTATTACTTTTGTTTTTTATTTTAACCAAAAGGTACCCTTTAGAGGTAACCTCTTTTGATCAACCATGATGAAAGGAGAGCAAAAGTCTAAGAGTGACGTTTAACAGTGCAATTTTAGGTCACCAAAGGTTGATAGCCAAACCATTTGCCATAGTCTCCTGAATGAAGGAGTCATGCTAAGTGAGAGATTTCCAATGCGGAAAATGTTTATTCATCCAAAGTCTCCAGTTTCTTTGATGGACTTTCAGCCAGCGGCATTTTCAGGATGACGACGTATTCTGCAGGTGCTTACCGTGACATTTGCCTCCCGTGCAAAGAAGAGGTTGCTGCCTGTTATCCGTCAGCTCGCCTGTTATACTGCTTAGTCTTACTTCTTGGCACTTTACGTAAAGAGAAGGAAAAAAGAAAACAGAATGTCTATAAAGTATGGAAAACGTAGAAACCCCTGACAGTTGCATGGTGTGTCTTGCTTCTCCCACAGAGAGGAAACCACAAAATAGTGAGTTCAGGGGTTTCTTTCCACACACACAATATCTGTCAGGATTTTGAGGAATTTTCTGGGAACTGATGAAAGAAATGTGCTGTTTAAGTCCTGATATATACTGTACAACAGATCTGTACAAGGAAGATGTAGTGCTGCACACCGGCAACTTCCAAAAGACTTTCCAAAATAAAAGAAACCCAAAGGATTTGAGGAAATTTCTTCCAAGAGGGCAGATTGGCTCCTGTGGGATCAGAGGCAGACGCAAAGGGGGAAATTAGCTTGTACTAAAGAGAAAAGGTATCTGATGTGTTTAATAGCTGTAGTTTCCTCATTAACCCTTTCACACCTTTGCAAGATCACCAATGTTGGTGGAAAATGCACAGGTATTTTAGCAGCAAAGGGGTTCTTGCCTCCCCAGATTCAACTTTGTCAACCCCAAGGAGCGGGCAGAATGTGAAGGAGGAGTCACAGAACTAATGAGTTCCCCATGCTCAGTGGTGTCACGCTCAGGGAGGGGACCTCTGCGTGTCAAAGGAGCGAAAATGAGTGTGACGGTGTTGAGAACCTGACTTACATGGCCTCCTCAACACAGGGCTTTCTGAAGCTGCCCTACGCGTGTGGTGACTGTAAGCAGTGCTGCTGATTGTGAGGGTACCTTAATAATCAGCAGGGAGATGGTGAAAGTGTGTCAGCAAATGGGAGTGGCATCAGGATCAACCCCAAAAGATGGTACAATGTGTTTATCTAGCCCTTCCTGTTAGAATTTCTTGCATTAAAAAAATCAATTATTGTTTATGTTTCTTCTCTCTTTCAGGTCCACCTGTAAGTACCAAACCTCTCTGGTTGTAGAAGCTGTTGACACAGAGTTTGCGGGGCATGAACTAGCAAAGTCTCCTGTCTGTAGTGTCTGGTGCAGCAGCTGTTTTTGCAGTCCTGGCACCCTGTCATCTCCCAAACAGCAAGTACTGTGGGTGCTCAGGACCCATATGGGGGTGGGATCGCTCTTGGCTGCATCTCCGCTTCCAAGGGTGAGACAGAGGGAGCGCAGGGACGGGGACATGGCAAATGTGAGGGGCGCGGATATCCGTGTGTTACCAGTTGGGCCCACATACCCCGCGGAAATCGGCTTTATTCACTCCACGTGCGTTGGATGCCACATGCCGAACAAGACGCGTTTGTGAAAAACGACAAGGCAGATCGCAAACACATGGCAGGAGCTGAGCTGTAGGGACTTGCTCCCTGCTACTCACCCGGGCTTGCTGAACTGTTGTGCCTTCAAGTATAGCTGCACAGCTATCAATTTCAGAGGAAAAATTGTGTTGACAGCTTCCTTTTCAAATGTTAGCTAATGCAAAACCTCAGTGCAGACGATTTAGGCTTCAGGAGAATAGCTAGGTTATTGCAGAAGTTTTCTTACAGCTATTAAGAGACCCACAGCGAACCAGAAGCAGCAATGCAAGGAATGAGGCCATGTATTGACATCTCTCAGGATTATAAAGAAACGCTATATTGTCTCCAACATGGTCCTTCTAGAGGAAATGGTTTATATTCATGTACAATAGAGTAACTATACTGGGTTTCTGTGAAGGAACATGAGAAGTTAAACATACGGTAGTCATCTCTTGTCTGTTCGTGCAAAAATGTCTTAAACAGTTTGCAGATGACGTTATGAGGAGAAGTAGTTGCTGCACAACCTATTTTCCCCTTTCATCAAGTCAAAATGCTGCAGACTGAACTCCCACAGATGAACAAGCACAGCCCAATTTAATGGCAACAATCTTCCAAAAAGTTGCACCTTCCAGGCCAAAAGGTCTGAAAGCGTTTTACAGCTGGAAGCCCTGATCCACGCAGACCTTCAGCAATAGCTTATCCCGGGGCCTTTCAGGACTGGCAGCTGAAGTGGAGGTGTTTCAGCATGAGTTTTGGGTTAGTGGGAGGAAACGCTGCTCCGGAGGGGGCTGCAAGTGGAGCCCATCCAGGGTTGTCCCTAACACTCCACCCTGCGCAGGCATATGTGGGCGCTAAAGGGATGGGATGGGCACAAAATTGGTAGTGGTGTTGGCATTTCTATTATTGCCATGAGAAATTAGGGAGAAATCAATCGGTCAATGCAGGTGTCTCGTGGAGAGCAGTCTGTGCCTTTGCAGGGTGAGGAAGACGCACACTCCAGGCTTTCTCTGCAGCAGTAAGGGTTAGAAATTTAATATCTTCGTGAAAGATTGAAGCCTGGCGGAAACACATGGGACCACCAGAGAAGTGCTGACAATATATGCTACTGTATCCTAGCTTATTGCGACCCCTGAACGTGTCTCTCCGCGTGCAGACTTTCAGGACAGGCCGCAAGGAATGCTACAGCCAATGGAAATAACAAGAGGAAGTTGGGCAGACTGAGCGTCATTAGCCAAAGTGGAATTTGTCTTGGGCTAGCAGCACCCTCGTCTCATTCAGGTCTTCTGGGGTTTCTGATCAGCTGGTGAGCGAGACTGGCTCAGTCACTGTGAGCAAAAGTTCACCGCTGAAGAATCAAGCAGAGTCCTCCATGTCGCCATAGCAAACATTTCCCCCCCTCATATTTCTCGTGGTTAAAACCGCATGGAAACTCAAGTTTATGAGCAACAGACCTGGGATCCCGCCTGGCCGATTGTCATACTCATCATTCTGGATAGCGACCCCGGAGTGCTGATGAGCCCACATCTCTCTCCCGGGTTTCTTTCCCAGCTTGCAAAACACAACATGCTGGGCAGCAGGGCTGAGCCCCTGGTGCTCGTGTTGGCTTGAGTGTGGGGGTGGGCAGAAATACTCATTAGAAACGCACTGAGCCCTGCTCATAGTCTAGATGGACAAGGAGAAAAGCCAGGGAAATGCATGAGCAACACCCCAGCAGCAAAAGGGGCCTTCACGCTCTCCTCTTGCCCAACAGATGCTCCCACCGTTGTTCTTGAAGTCAATCAAGGCTTTGGTGAAGTCAAGGGCAACCCGCAGTCATGTAAGAAATTTGGTGAGATTGGGACTAAAAGGGGCAAAGGAAGGAAGGGAATTATGAAATCGTGCAATAGTCCCGAGGTTCCCAGATTCTTTCACCGTCTGGACCACATCCGAAGGAAAAGATCCTCTCATGGACGTTTTCTCTCCTGTTTCTGAACATGCAACATTTCTGTGGCAACTGCAGCAATTCCATACATGAAAAAATAATATTTAGCAGATGGAAACTAAGGAAGAAAATCAGAGCCCTGTAATTAGCTCGTTCTCCGTGGACTTGCAGATACCTCCAGAGCCCGTGCAGAGAGCTGTGGGTAGAGCCATGCTGAAAGGAGAGAAAACTTCACAAACAGGAGATTAGGAAACCGAAGCAATCAGAGCTGATGGTCAAGGAGCTGTGGAGTGTTTTTTAACCATTCTGTTTCCTAAACCCTTACATGTGATTTCATCTCTTTGTCAAGCCCTCCCTTCAGAGTTTGAAGCTAACTTTCACCATGTCTGTGTATTTTGTTTCAAGGCCTTACAGGAAGACCAGGGCTCCCAGTAAATACTTCATTCTTTCTTTTTCATTCCCTCGTGCTCTCTGTCTGGCAGTACTCTCATCAGTAGGTCTCCAGAGTTCGTAAGCTGGGAGAAAGGTAGTGATCTTCTACAACAAACCCGATGTGGAACAGCATATTGCAAACAGGACACGGCTCATGAAAAAGTAGGGACCACAGGAGCTTTGTAGGACCAAACTGGAGAGTAACATAACCCCTATGAACCCTCCTGCATGTTGGAAACACACTGCTTTTGAAGATGCCTTTGTCAACTTGAGGCTCTGATTGAAGAGGCTCAGCATGCAGTATTCTTGCTGATGGGGCTTTGCTAATTGCAGCAGGATCTAAAAGGCCTAAATCACTCTGGGACAAATGCAAAAGTCCATAATAACAGTATCTGCGTCTGAGATAGATAGTCATGAGTGAGGAGGGAGGGTGGGTCACAGCCGCATGCTTTCCTGGCAATAACTCCCTGCTCTCCAGGCTGCTGCTCACCTGGAGACTGCAACAGCCGTAACAGGCGGTTTCCTGATGAACAAAATGCGAACTGTGCTGCCGGTTCTCCCCCCGGCTCAGGACAGAGGCTGCTTGTTGCCTTTCATGCTCCTCTAGCTGCAATGTGGGAGCTGCAGGCAGCTTTGCATGACTTCGTAACCAACCTACAAGGTATCATCCACCCTCGAGTGCTCTTTCCTGGCTCCCTGTCACAGACAACCTTTCCTTATAAACATCTGGCATTTATTTGCTGTCCTACCGGGAGCTCCCCGCTTCGCTATTATTGCTTGGAGGGCTGTAACGCTGCACAGTCACATACCAGACACGGTGCCGTCATGTACCGCTCCGACACCAGGTACTCGCTGGAGACCAGACACACCTCAGCCTCGACCTCGGGCTCTTCCTGCTTGGGCACCAGCTCCAGCAGAGCCAGGAGAAACAAAATCAGCTTTTACCTCAAACCGTGAGGGAGCTCAGCCTGAGCTCAGCTCTGGAGGAAAGCAGCATTTAAGGGACTAAAAGCGGAGGAAAACTCAGCATTATGTTCTCCAGCAGCCACAGAGTAATCCCAGGGCAAGATGCTGACACCGGGAGTTTTGCTCTCTGCCGGCACACAAAGATAGGCAAATATTAGTGGGACTGAGAACCCGCCTAAAACCCTAGAAGAAAGCAGTTTCCCATAATATATCATCTACAAAATTTAAAACCAAGCAGCTGCTTAGCGTTTCATCCATCTGCAAGGGATGCTTTTGCAAAGCATGTGTTGCTTTTCAATTTGTCAAAACATGCGCTGCATGGAAACGAGTGTCCCCAATAACGAACGGCCCCCCAGCTCTGCGGAAGGAAGAGCAACACAGGAAGGACATGGAGCTGCTGGAGCAGGTTCAGAGGAGGCCACGAAGATGATCTGAGGGCTGGAGCACCTCTGCTGTGGAGACAGGCTGAGAGAGTTGGGGCTGTTCAGCCTGGAGAAGAGAAGGCTCCGGGGTGATCTTATTGCAGCCTTCCAGTACTTAAAGGGGGCCTACGGGAAAGCTGGAGAGGGACTTTTTACACGGGCATGTAGTGACAGGACAAGGGGCAATGTCTTTAAACTGAAAGAGGGGAGATTTCAATTAGACATAAGGAAAAAATTTTTCACTCGGAAGGTGGTGAGGCAGTGGAACAGGTTGCCCAGAGAAGCTGTAGATGCCCCATCCCTGGAAATGTTCAAGGCCAGGTTGGATGAGGCTTTGAGCAACCTGGTCTAGTGAAAGGTGTCCCTGCCCATGGCAGGGGGGTTGGAACTAAATGATCTTTAAGGTCCCTTCCAACCCAAACCATTCTATGATTCTGTGAAGTGGCTAAACTTTCACAAGGGTAACGGTTTGATCCCAGGAGATAACATCTGAGTTGGGATGCACGGCCAAAGAACCCTCTGCGTACACCTCGCAAAACAAGTAGAGTTACACGCGTTCCCCTTCCAGAGATTTTGGACTACGCTCACGCACATCGGGACTGAACACGGGGGAAGGCACAAAGGTGGCACCGATGGGGCTGGTGTCTCCAGCTGCAGAAACCAGAAAACCAGGTTTATGTCTACGTACGCAGGCAGCCGTGGGCAGGGACGCTATGTTCGACATAAGGAAACCCCAAACATTGCTGGAGACAGAACTGAGCGATTATTATCATGTCATTTTTGCAAAATATAGAGCAAACGCTACATGACCGCCGAAGCCATAATCATCAAGATCCTTTCAGCTGCTATCTTTCAAAATCTGCACAGCCCTCAATTTAGGTGACCAGGAATGCAGAAGGGGTTGATTTTTTTTTCTTTTTTTTTTTTTTTTAATTTTTAAATTGCGTAGTTAAATTTAACTTTAAAAGGCAGAAAACAGCCTTGTAGGTAAGTGGCTGAAGAAAATTGCCACCAGTCTTGTGTTCACGTATTTACGAGGCTCTGTTCAGTGTCGCCTGACCCAAAGTCATTCCCCAAACCTCTGTTAGGATTGTTCACACCCTGACAGTGCACTGGGAAGCATCTCAAAGGGGTAGAGGACACTGAACACAGCTGCTCATATGTCTTCTTCCAGACATGCTTTTTCCTGTGTCAGCTTGTTTTCCCACATTTTTCTCTTGCTTCTGGACAGGACCGTATTTTCAAGTCTAAGAGTAATCCTGTTTTAGAGTGATAACTCTATAAATAAATAGCTAACACCCAGATGACTTTGGTAAAGAAGGAGAAAAATGTGATAGTTGGCTACTGCAGGAAGCCAGTTCCCAGGACCTGGATTTTATGAAGTGCTGGAAATTGGGATTGTACTTTGTTAGGCTGAAAACTCTTGCCCTTGTTTTGCTGCCTAAATTGCTGTATGTAATTTCTGTTGAGATGTGCTGGTTTGTCATGTGCACAGGTGAACTGGTGGCTTATACGTGTTCTTAAAGACAGGTTTGGGCACACGCAAACACATTTTCCTCTCTAACTTGTTCTCCTCCTCTCTCAAAATCTCTGGATGCTTGCACCACAGCACGAAGCCGTGCCTGTGGCACAGCTCATTTGTGCTGTTTTATAACCTTGCTTTTGGCCAGTTTCCAATTGCCTCTGATTTTGCCTTAATTGCCAGGGAGACAAAGGTGCCATGGGGATCCCTGGGCGGCCGGTAAGTTGAATCCTTTTGCACGTCCTTTGTCCTCCCCATCGTCTTCCGACCCTCAAGATTTTGGGGAGCCATTCAGGATGACCCTTGATGGGTGTCAGCCTGAGAAAAGCCACCCTCCCTGAGTCCCACATCTGAGAGGATCTCCTGGTTGCAGCAGGGTGGCCAGACCTGCAAACCGCATACACGCTGGGGTGGGTGTTTCCATCCCCTCTGCTGTGTTGCTCAGACCCTCCTCTGGTTCAGCATCCTCCCTGGTTGGGTGCCTCCTGCTGCCACCTCGTGTGCCGGCTGGGCTTGCTAAGCGCGGGCTTGCTAACACACACCCCTCCCTGCCACCGGCAGCTGCCCTTTCCAAATAACCCTGCCCTGAACAAGGGGGAGCATCCCCTGCCTGGATGAGCACTGTATTTTGGAGCTGCTCTTCACTCGGGCATCCCAGGGTGAGGATGAGGAAGAGGGCTGGGGCAGGAGCTGAGGTCACCCTGCTGATCCTAGCCCTGTAGCCAGGGTTTTGGGGTGGGGGAGCGTGCCTTTGCTGCTGACGCCTCTGTTTGTCTCTCTCTCTCTCTCTCTCTCTCTCCCCCTGGCTCCCCTCCCTGCATCCTCTTGCATGTGGCTGTGACGGGTGCCACTGACCCAGGGACTGAAAGGGCAACCCGGAGAGAAGGTGAGTCGACCCCTCACAGCCCATAGCATCCCTGACTGTCCTCTAGGGCCAGCCCAAGCTCCCCGGTCACAGTCATGGCTGGGG